CAGGTACACTCTACCTCACCCAGCGGTGCTCCACTCCTCCAGGTGCTGACGCCTCCAGTCAGCCCTGGTGCAGCTGGTTGTTCCTTCATCACCATTGAACCTGGCAAAGGAACCAGCACACAGCCCCCCTGTCCAGCACCTGTGAGCCCCTTCTGTTCTCAAGCACCCTTCACGTGCAGAGCCCACAGGCCTGTAAACCTGCCTCATCATCACTAGAGACAAGACCTCTCTACTGGAGCTCTCACATGCTCTCCTTCCAGACTGGACTCTGGACAAATCCCTTTTCTCCCAGGAGGACTTATTTAGTCAGGAGGAGGCTAATGCTACACACATCCTATCCTGACAGCTCCTTTCCCTCACTCACTCAGGATCTCACTGCCTCACAGGCAGGTAATCAGGAGCTGAACTTCTCCTTTAAAAGAGAGAAGAGGCACTTCCTGCAGCCAGTGGACAAGGGGAGCTGGGCTTCAGCTTGATATACTTGTTTCACAGGAAAGTCCCAGAGCTCCTGCACTCTTGAACACTGATCTTGATTTCCTGCTCGAGCTGCATGATCACAACAACACACCCTGAAGCCACAGCCCAGTTTCCCAGAATCCTCTCCTGTCTCTCTGTGTTACAGCAGGAAGTGAAAGTGAAAGTAGTCTATTACTGCGATAAAGAGCAAGCTGATTTTCAAATCTAATCATAAAAAGGCCTCAGAGAATCACATATTTCTTTCTGAACAATAGAAAGTGGAGCTCAGACTGGTATGATCAGAGTATCCAGCCTGTAAGTATCCTGTCTTTCGCACATCAGTTAACAGCATGGTGTCCTGTAATGTTAGTATGCTATACCTGTAGCAGTCAGGTAGTACAGTTATTCACACGACAGATTTATTATTAATGTGTATCTGAAGGTGTACAGTATAATATCACAGTTTTCACTGTATTTTCTCTGTAATTATTAATGTGAATATGAAGGTGCATGATATCACTGTTTTCACTGGATTTTCACCCTATTGGATCTAACAGGCAAACAGTAAATTTCATGGGTCCTGCTGAGGGTTTTTCTTTCACTTTGTGTTTCCTGTAGTTGAATGGCGTCCTCTCTCTCAGAACAACATCTCTGAACACTACAAAGACAAAAAACTTCGCTCTGAATCTGGATTGTAATTAATACTGTAAACATACTGTTAATATAAAAACAGGTGAGAGTAAATCTGCTTTGTTATTGTCTGTGTAAGAAGACAAGAAACATGATATATTTCTGAACCTTGTAGATTTAATT